GGGGGGCTGAACAAGCCGCCAGAAGAGACAGAACATTAAGGTCTTCTTTGAGTCCGAGGCGGTATTTCATAAGGCAGCGCGCCCGCTTCCCTCTGTCGGCTAAACGCGTAGAAGCTAAAGAGATGACATTGTGACTTATTGAATTGCAAATCAGTCCGTCGGCGGAGGGATGGGACGATTTCCGGAGAGAGAGAGAGAGAGACGGAGAGACGTGAGCATCGTGGTCCGCGTGCCTCCGCTAAGGAGGAGCGACAGCGCCCCCTAGTGTCGCGCCGGAAGAGGAGACTCCATCCACAACCATCCGTCCACGTTGCGCTGCAGAAACAAATCACTGCGTTTTTTTTTTTTGTAAAATATGATTCCAATTTCCCCAAAAGGAAACCCCTTTTTTTTGCAGAAGCACACTCCTTGTGCCTTCAACTTGAACGATATTTTTGTTAACGGAGCCATTCCTCTCAGGGCTGCATCGAAGCGAGGCGACAGTTCAGCGAGCATGTGGTAAAAAGTCAGATTTGTACACATGGTCTGTATACCAATGAGGCCGCGCTGGCAGTTTGGGGGGAATTTGACATATAAAAAAAGGAATTTGAGATAATTCCCCAATGGGACGAAAAACAAAGACTACATATTTCAAAGGAGTGAAGACATTCTGCTGGTAAAGCTCGCTTGTTCATCCAGACATCTGTTCTAAAACATTTCCAGCCCACAACCACAAAAAAAAGGGAAGAACACCCGACTCTTTACCCGACACAAAGACTAATTGGGAAATATAAATTCCCAATTACTATTTGTCTTTTCCACTTTGATGCCATTTCACAAAAAAGAAGGCGTTGATCCCGACGGCTGTAACAGTCACTCTTCAAATTCAGAAAGGGGTCGATGTCATGTGACCATTTGAAAAAATGTGTCCTCTCAAACAGGTTCTCCTGCGCTCATTAACTGACCGGCCGACCTCTTTTACCTTTGATATTCACACGTGTTGATTAATTACCAAGAGGACTCTGTGCGCTCATGTTTGAGTCTTGTGAGAGAAAATGAGGGTTGCAGTCGAGGTCGGGTGGTGGGAGGGCGACGGTGCTTCAAAGTTACCTGATGCAACTTTTCATTTTTCATTTTTAGAGGATCGTTCTGCACATCTGCTGAATATAAATCTTCCATCAAGTCGTTTAAATATAGTCGTTTATTCAATTATTGCCACAGTTGTGCCAGAATTTTTGAATTTTGGATTACTTTAAAATCCTCTCAACTGCAAAAAAATGATTACGAAGCCGGAGCTCAGGTGGGATCTGCGCATGGAGGGAAGGATGATCGGGGCAACAGCCTTTAGACACGCCGAGTTCTAGTCGGATGCAAACGTCCACCATGAGCAGAAAACACATGACAACAAGTGGACGAGCCCCTCGCCCTCCGTCTGTCTGCTGCCCCCACCCTGAGGTGACCGGGGGTTCAATCGCCTCAGACCTTTGCTCTACAAGTCACATTGCATCTTCTGTCACAAGCTGAAGCCTTCAAAAGACGTGTCAGAAACACAAAAATAAAATTCCTAATAAAATTAATAAAAACAAAAAATCACTTCAGTGTCCCATCAGAAGGACATCTGCAAAGCTTAGTGCGGCGCAAAGGTCCAGCACAAGGACGTGGTCACATTAGCTTCTTCTTGCCTCTCTGATTAGTCCAATTAAACCCTTTGAGATAGAATCTCTTCTCTCAGGTATCACAGCTTTCAGGAATCTCACTGGTCAGCGGGTATGTGCGGAGTATCGGGCGAATATATGGGCTCTTTATTAGCTTAAAAAAACAAAACCAGCCAGCGATTGAACCCCAACACCCATCAGCATCTCTCCTATTTGGAGAGAGGTCAATCTAATTGGTCCAACTTTACTGTTCAACTTCGACGTTGATCAGCTGCCAAGTGAGCAGTTCCATAGTGTTGAAAATGCTTACTCTACTTTAAAACCGCAGTTTTCTCCTACCTCACATTCAGCACGTACACGTTTTTTATGAAAACCGGAACCGGAAGGTACCAATCAGAGTCTGAGGGTGAATCAGCCGGGCCAATATACACCGTTATATTGTTGCTCAAACTGAATAAAACCCTCTGCCATTTAACATCGAGTCGTCTCATCGAATGGACGCGTTGAAGGGCGAGCTCGGATAACAATTAGCCTTCCTGTTGGTGCCGATAATGGACTCCGAGCCAAACATTGCCAGGTTAATGTGCAGCTAAAATTAAACCCCCACTTCACTCGGGGGGGAAAAGGGGAATGAGTCTCTTTAGGATCGTCTCTGACTGGAGGTCAGTACTCAGCCGTTGAATGTACCACTCCACCAGAGTGCACGCCGAGTACCTTGGTGTCTAAAGCGCTTGAGTGGGATCCTTAGATACTGATCTCGGGTCGAAGCGGTGTTTGTGTACGAGCGCGCTAGTCTCTCCCGCTGCGGTTGATAAGACCTTCGTCCTTGCATGTAGATAAGAGACGATAAGGGAGAGAGAGGAGAGCGATACAGATGGTGCCACACCAATTCTCGGGTCAAACGGCTCTTGTAGAAATTCGGGCGGCAACTTGTTCAGACGGTGCACTCGAAGTCGAAGGCTGGAGGAAGATTACCGCCAATGACAAACCGCCCTGTGCGCTTCCAGTTCCCTCCCTCCGTTTCCCTCTGGTCTAAAACCAGAGCCATCTCCTTCCCCAGTGGAGCAAACCGAATACATCAGAATCCAATGGAGGCTTATAATGATATGTGTGTGTACCTACATGACAGCTTGTTTCCGGCCAATGTTGTAGAGTTATTGGGTGCACGTGTGTGTGTGCGTGTGTGTGTGTGTCAATAACTGTGTGTTGTATTTTCTACTGCCCGTGTTGAATTTGAAATTGGGGAAACGCACACTCACACATATGGACCACTTCTGACGATATCACAGATGGAAAAACACATCTGGAGGGAGAAGACTTTATTTAAAACACACAGACTCACACATACTTTATTATGCACCACCCATAAACACAAGTGGATGCATTCACCTTCATTTCTTTCTTTCCCCTATTTTCTGTCTCTCATCCATTCTTCCTTTCTGCCTTTAAAATAGTCCTTTTCTCGCTCTTCCCGAACACCTGCCTCATCTTCTACCCAATTGCTCTTTATCTCAACCTGGAATTTGCCTCTTTACTGGGCTTTGTGGATAGAAAGAGATTTCACACAGTATACTTAAAAAAGCAGGCATTGTGGTGTTTGTTTTTATGGCTTTTTGGTGAACGGAGGCCCAGATGGAAGTTGGAATCCCTTTGTGCATTTTTGGGAAAATTACTTTTTAGAGACAAACAAACATTTTGGACCAAACCCTTTTGGTAAACTTCTAACCTGCACTACTTGGTTCTGCATGCAGTGTTGTTGGCAGGGCCAGTATGTCTTTATCTGAAGTAAATGGAAAAGGTCAAACAGAACTTGGGTTTCTTTTCAGGGAAAATGTCTCACTGTTCTCTGTGAATATTCAAAATTTACATAAAATATTTTGATACATATTTCTTGAGACAGAAAAAACTAAAGTTTGTTTGATTAAAATCAGCTAATGGGTTAAAATGAAATCCTCGCACGACTTCCGAGGTCCCCCGAACCCGCCTCCCCCCCATGCCATCCCATCCCTCCCTGTCCAAGCACATGTAACCAGCATCCTTAAATCTAACTGTTAGGGCCACGATGGCGGCGCAGGCCTCTCGCCTCTCCTGTACGGCGTCTTCCACCATCAACACGCCGCGACAGCAGCTGAGATCAATTACAGAGAAACGCCCCCCCCCCCCCCCCCCCCACACTTCTCTCCCACTACAGAAGTAATTTACTCACCCACCGTAAATCAATGGAGACAAGTGGGGCTAATTTAGACCATTTGATGTCAATTTGGCCTTGACCCCCTCCCCGGACCACACACACACACACACACACACACACACACACACATACACAAACAAACACGCCATCCACTTGATGACTGGCTGCACAGGAGCTTATTACGCAGAACCGAGACTCACGTCTCAATGGCCGACACACATTCCTGAAGGAAAAGCCATGCTTATTCTGTGTCATGCACCCCACAACACACACACACACACACACACACACACACACAAACACCGTGTCGCAAGACATAACTCGTAGCTCTACCGCCTGAGATTTCCATATTGGTTCTGTCAGAGACAATTTTGTTTACAGTCCCGTTTGGATGAAATAACAGCACCGGGCGCTATCAATTACTGTGATAGAGGAGGGGAGGGGAGGGGGGGAGGAGGGCGAGGGGGGCGGGGGAGTAAAATAGGAGAGGGTGCAGAAGATTGAAAAACGATGAAGAGCAGGATGGGAAGGGAGGATAAAGATCAGGGGGTGCGGTCAGAGAGGTGCTGCAGGGAAGGGGGGGGGGCGAGGGCGGGGTAGGGGAGGGACATGGGGGGAGGAAGACGGACGCAGAGTGAGACATGGATCCATTTTCTCTACACAGACATGCCAAAACTGAGAGCACGTCATCTCTCGCCCGACCGCTCCACAAGCCCCGTGGAGCGAGGTCCGGAAAACCATTCAGCATCGCCGAAACACTCATTCCTGCTCACAGACACACACACGCACACACACACACACACACACACATAAAACCCACGCACGCAGACACACACAAGCACACAGCCCTGCGCTCTGAGCTGCAGGGACGCTGTTGTTTTTTGTATTTGTTTGTTTGGTGTGTTAAACCTTTAGTCCAGATATTAATCGCTGTCTCCATTTCCTTCAAAGCCTTCAAAGTCAACACGTAAACAAAAGGGCCAACGAAAAGCAAAACAGAAAACAAGAGGATACATATTTCTGTCAAAGAAGGTCACAACTAAACCCAAGAAATGCTTTTTTCTGATGG